TCTCCCATGGGATAATGGTGGGATAATTGGTGGGACTGAAAATCCCACCATTCTCCCATGGGATTTTGATATTTGGGACTTAATATTTCTCAAACTAGATAAGCTTGTTAGTTCAACATGAGATTATGTGCTACTGCTAGAAAATCCCACCAAGTAATATTAATGTTTTTTTGATATCGCAATTGGAAATGGTAGTAAAAAGTCCGGACTATGTCGTGTCCGGAGTTAAATGTCGCACTGTTAATATCAGAGAGAGAGAGAGAGAGAGAGAGAGAGAGACTCATGTAACCCCGTGTAACTGACATACATGTACATCTGTGAAAAAATATATATACCGTAATTTTATTGAATTCACAATTAATAATTCTAATAATTTTTAATTTTCACAACTATGGTTCATATTCAACTGTTCAACCCATTTACATATTCGATCTCTGTACCTGTACGCACGGGGGGGGGGGGGGGGGGGGGTCAAGGGGCTTAGCCCCACCCCCACTTTTTTCCCAATATTACTTTTTCTATTGAAAATGTTCATTGATAGACAAGTTGCCAACCAACCCTCCCCCCCACACACACACACACCAGTTAATACTACGGTAAAGTTATATAAGGGAAATGTAGTATTGTATGCCAAGGAACTGGTACTGAAATAAGTAGCTTTTTCAACTTTGGGAAAGGTTTTTCTTTGCTTGTCAAGTTTTCCAGGTAAGAACTTTTAACAGAACTTTTAACAGGTAAGAAAATTTCTTTGGCTACCCCCCCCCCCTTTTAAAGACGATGCTACGTATACGTGCCTGGTTAATTCGTATAGCTTTCTAGAAAGGGGGGCTAACAGACCCTTTATAAAATAATTTATTATCTAAAAAAAATGCAAACCGTTTTCTTCTTTTAAATTTTTTAAATACAGCGTGTAAGTTGATCACTATTTTGTTGGATTATCGTATTGCGTAGTCCGCGGAAGTTAGGCTAGTGTAGAAGAGTTCCGATTTTGAGGGGAGATAACTCACTTTTGAAAATGGGGAATACTATAAATACTAATATTTACATTCGCTGTGTTTTTCTACTAAGCCAACTGTGAAATTGATTTGAAAACCATTTTCGTGTTTATTATACCTCATTATAAATATTCTACACAACGCTTTATCATATTCCCCGGTCGTCGGCACGCTTTTCATCATATTCCACACTTTCGGAGGCCTCGTGCTTTTTACCGTAAGAGTTATCGTTCGTTGAACGAAAACACCCGGGTAAGCAGACGTCACAAAATGGGTGAAAGTGAGAGATTCCACTTACCGACACGGGATGAAATCAATGATTTATTATCTTTGAAAGATTCGGAGAATACAAAAAAGTCAACAATGCTGTCGATTAAACGCCTTAAGATTTTATAGCGGCAACGGCAATGGAAATCGAAATTGAGAGTTGTCCGAAAGAAGTATTAGATGATGTTTTGAAAAAGTTTTACGTTGGAGCCAGAAAAACAAATGGCGAAAGATTCAAAAAGACAGCATTACAAAACATAAGGTATCATAATGGGATTAAGCGATACATGAAAGATAAACGGGGCTGTGACATAGTTTCTGACCCAGAATTCTGTGGGAGCAATGAAGTTTTTAAAGCCGTAGCGACGGACCTGAAAAGGAGGGGTCTTGGAAACATTGAACACCATCCTCCCATTTCAGAAAATGATCTGAGACAATTGTACAGCGGAAGTACCCACGTTTTTGACACCCTACGGACTACAGAAGAAAGTATGGTTCGAGATTACCTTATTTCTTTGCAGAAGAGGGCGTGAGAACATTCGTTTTATGACAAAGAATAATTTCAAAATTAGGAAGATCGACGACACCGGGAGACATGTTTTGTTTACCAAAACATTAATGAAATGGACAAAAATCATCGGGCCGACACCCAAGGGAGTGTCACAGACGGCAGAATGTATAAAATACCAGGTATAGTACACAAATATTATTGTACCAAATATCGAATTAATATTGCATGTTGTAAAATTGTTTTACCTAAAAAATAATTTTTTTGAAAAATCAAATTTATGTCACAGGAAACAGCAACTGTCCTGTGGTGTCCTTTAAGAAATATATCGAGAAACTTAATCCAGACAGAAATGACCTGTGGCAAAGACCAAGGGATACCTCTAACCAGGACGATGATGTGTGGTATATGAATTCTCCTGTAGGAAAAAATACACTCTCTCAATTCATGATGAATATCTTTAAGGTAAGAAAACTTTCTCGGGAATACAGAAATCATTCAGTTCGAGCTACTAGCATAACTGTGATGGATATCGGTGGCATTAGTGGGCGCCTCATCATGAAGGTATCTGGCCACAAGTCCGAGTCTTCATTAAAGTCTTATTCTCATTTTATAAGTGACAAAAAGAAAAGAGAAATCTCTGACACTCTAAATTCTGCCGTGGGCCACCAAATGATTTCCGAAACTCCACAGTTGCAAGATTTAGGAGATCTTTCAGATGTGTTTAAAGATGACTTTGAGTTAGAGCCTGTTAATATGACCAATTCCAAAGATATCCAGAACATCCTATGTGAAATCGGTCAAAACAACATGAACAGTCAGAACCAAGTAGATGTTTCTAACTCTTCGGGAGGATTTCTAAATTTTAGACCTAGTTTTCACAGTTGCAACGTTACAATTAACTTTAATTACCAAAAATAAATGCATTGCTGCGCAATCTTGTGAAAGTGTTCCTGTTAGCGCTCAGTTAGAAGTTATTTGTTTTTCAATGTTTACAAAGTTAAAAATTGAATTAAATACAATGTATCTTTGTTATTTACTTATCTTTATAATGTTAAATTTGAGAATATTTGCTTTACATTTTTTTCTTAAAGATAAATATCTTGTTATTTGTTATTTATATTAATTTATTTTTTTTGTCATTGTTAAACTTGTGTTACTTGTTATTCATGATTTGTTATCACTACAATATCTGTGATAATATGACAGAATTTATTACTCATGTTTATTTTTGTTATTTATTTGTTATATGAGATAAATTACTATACAATAAATATTAAAACTTTCTTTTTGTTATTATATCTTGAATCTCCATTTTATATCATTGTAAGATAAATTAATTTTTTATTGTCACAAACAAAAACATATGAGTATTGAAGTTTATTGTTGATTCGGTATAATAAACAATTTATTGCATGAATGTTTGGGAGATATGAAGACTTCTTCATCCATGAAAAATCATATTCCCCGAGGGCGTTGCCCTCGGGGAATATGATATTTCATGGATGAAGAAATCTTCATATCTCCCTCACTATCATGCAATAAATGTATAATACTCACGCGTAGAAATATACACGGAGAAACCTGCGTTAACGTGACGTCACAATGAGGTTGAGGCGACGTTAGTAAAAATTTAACGATATAAGGCAGCGAGAAATTCAAATATTGAGGATATTTTAGTTGCTTCCAAACATGCAAAATGCAAATATAAGGAATGTTTTTAAGTTTGGTGTGAATTATTGGTATTAGCGCGCTTCATGAAATATGCCTACGTGACAAGTCTGTGTGATTCACACACCAATAATTCACACAAAACTTAAAAACATTCCTTAAATAAAACAAACGGGGCGGGGCACTTTGAGAGGGGTGAGAGAGGTCGTAGGGAGTTTTGGTATAAAATTACATTGCATAAGCTCAAAATCTTCTTGAAATATCGCCCGGAAATGAGTGTTACACACAGACAGAATGTATAAGTTTACGACCTTGAACTTTGACCTTTTGACATCAAAATCAAAAGGTTTCTTCTTTAGTCCATAGGGAGTTGCTATGCTAAATTTCATTGCAAAAGCTCAAAGGGTTCTCGAGATATCGTGTGGAAACGAAAGCGTTATAGACAGACAGAAAGACGGACGGACGGACGGCTAGACGAACGGACGGAGAAACCCAAATTAATATCCCTCACTTTTCAAGCGGGGGACAAAAATCTCGAAAGGGACGTCAATCAATCAATCTTAAGGGACTCCGACCCTCAGCCAGGAAGGACAACTCTTTAATTTATAATTTAATTCAAAAAGTCTTTAAATGAAGCTTGAATATTAAATCTTTTCATGCAACAATTTTCATTATACGCCTCTCAATATGCTTCAAGGTTCTTTGCAAAGCTCCATAAATCACTTCTAATTTCATATCATGTTAAGAGCGTGTCTACGAGAAAACCATGCAGATATATAGAAAAATGCTCTGGTAGGCAGTCTCAAGAACAAACTAATTTTTATTATTAACTTAAAGGACACCCATTGAGAGTCAGAAATATGTTGTTTATTTTTGCATCGGTTGTTTCTATTTTTAGTAACAGCCAACAATTCATTTTGGTCAATATTCAAGGGAAAATGCAAAAAAATTGGTGAAAAAACGACCATTTCTATATTTAAAAGTAAAAAAGAAAAAACAATATATGAAGAAAAGGGCAATGTTTTCTCACAGAACTGAGACATAAGATTAAGTTGGAATCAAATTTTTTGTAATCCCCCTGTATCAAAGGCTGCCCCAAGAGCACAAATATTGGCATGGTGCCAAGAAATGATAATGATTCATTTTTTTGTCAACATTCAGGGATATATTTCTTAGAAAGTGACGCTTCTTTTTTCAAAATTTTGTTCATTTAAAAATCTCTAAGATATTATCTCAACAATATATAAAATCCACCTTTGGACTCGTAATAAAATCATCTCAAATTTAAATGATAGAAAAAATGGTGATTTTATAAGTTTAACTTTTACAGTAATTTAAATGAATTTTGTGCAATATATTTACAGATATAAACAATAAAAATTATTAAATCAATTTAATACAAACTATAAATTAATTTTCCCCTGCTTTTTATGTAAAAAAAAAAAAAAACGTATTTTACAGTTATTTTCGATTTTTTAAGAATTATCTCCCCTGTTGCACTCTTCTGTAGAGAAGGTAGATAATGATTATGTTTATGAAGAGATGTTTGTCGTTTTATCGTTTTAGGCATACATTATGTTTGGTTTTAAGAAAATTGCCTTTCCTGTGAATTTGATTTCTTACATATATGCTAGTGGCCTAAGTAAAAAATACATAAAATATTATGAAATCCATCGGGATCGATGTACGGTTCCGTAACCACGTGTAAACATCATGGCTTCCTGCAACGTTTTGTACGTCCTCAGAAAAAGATTCAGGTGCATGAATTGTCATCGAAGCTTCAGATTCTGGCTCTGATTTTGATGAATATGATTCTGACAGCGAACATTCATTTGGTAGCGAGACGGATGTAGTGATGATGATACCGAATCAACAACGTTTGAATTTGAAAGTGAAACAGGTACATGTAGTTGGATCTTGGTTTATAATACTATGTACATTATAAAAAAGGCTTATTGATATGTAAAAAATAAATAAATAAACAATGTTGATTGGGACTTGATTATATACGAGAGAAGATTTTTTACAAGACAATATCAGGTCTGGTACAATCACCAGATTTAGCTACGTAGCGTGATTTACCTACTTAGCTTTATTTAGCTACCTGAAGTAGCTTTATTTAGCTACCAAAGTTATTTATTTTTATACTACCTACGTAGCTAAATCTAGTGATTATACTGGACCTGAATATATACCTAGCAAACATGTCAAGAGAAATTTAAGGTTGGTACATGTACATGTAGCAATAAAAATATCTGTATAAATTCAACAATATTGCAAAATACATACATGTATGCAACATATTCACATCTGCTGAATTATAAATAGCATAAAGATCTAAGTAGACTTTGTGGAGCGATGAAAAGAGAAGGAAAAAATGAATAGGTCCAGGGTTTTCAGAGACTGTTTACTAATAGGGTACATTAAGAATTGGATAGGTGGGTCTTCACTGTCAATTAAATCACCATAATATTGCCTCATATGCGGGATACATGTTTATAAAGAATCTCATTAAACACAATATTTTTTTCAGATATTTATGAGATGTTATGAAGATAGCTACAGTTATGATTTTTGGCTTCATGGAATAGTAGAATTTTCTTTATGGGAGATCACATTTATTTGAGAAAAGAGTTGTCAAATACTTGTGCAGACTGCAGACTTTTCAAATTCAAAGGGCACCATGTGTTCCTTGACAGGTTTGTGTTTAAAACAACTGGTATTATAAATATAAGACTGGGAAATTGTTCTTTGTAAAGAATATTTCATTTCAATCTTATATTTCTCGTGCAATTTCAGATTATTCATATTCATTTCCTTGGATAGGGCTGGGCTTTACAATTGGATTTTCAGCTGTGGAGCTATAAAGAATTACTATGCAGGGTTTCCAATGTAGTTTTGTGAACAGAATCCAGAAATAAGAAGAGGAGGGACAATGCAGTTGCAGCATGAGCATGACCAATTACTTGCCACTGCTGAGAAAATGGTAAAGATATGTTATTACTATATGTATAGGGATTGCCTTGTCTGTCTGTCGATTTGCCACATGCATTTTTCCCTATTCTGTTACTTTACTTCAAGAAGATAAGAGGCTCTTGGTTTTTTTTTAAAGATAGCCAGAAGAATTTGTGAATAATCTTACCCAAGTCATTTGATGACATTTTCTTAAATTGGAAAATATAAATGTAGCATTATCGTAAACATGACATTTATTTAAAAAATCTTAGAATATGTCAAGCATGGTTTATTTCAATTTAATCTGAAAACTGTCCTTTTTCACAGGTACATGCTTTGAGTACTACTTTTGTGTATTTGGAGACAGTCCAGTTCTTTAAACCAGGAGTGGAAATTTCAGTGCTTGTTAAATTTTCTCCAGAACTTATTGGATGCTACATAGGAAGAAAATGGGGTCATACTGAACAGAATAGTTTGGATACATCTTATAGATTTCGAAAGCTTGAGACCTCAAGATCAACCCAAATGGTGTACCGAACATGAAGAAAAAAAGTTTATAATTGAAGAAGCTTGCGTAGTGACCAATATTTCAGGGTATTTCATATATGTTAACTTGCACGATTTTATTGGTACATGTACTTCAACATTGTTAACATTTTAATATTTAATATGTATCGGGTTTCACTTGCAGGAATTAACAAAAATTCTGAGTAAATTTTCAGTGTTTGTTTTGTTAGATAAGGTCAAAGATCAAGGTCAACAGTGCTTTTGTTTTACCAAATATAACACTATTATAAAGACTACTGTATACAGGGTTATTTTTGCCCCGTCTTATTTTCGCACTTTCACACTTGCAAACAATTTTGCCCCGTTTTAAATTCGCCCAGTCATAGTTTTGTTTAAGAAATTATACTGTATTCTTTGAATTCGCCCCGTTTTAAATTCGCTCAAATGAGAGTAGGGCAAAAGGGGCGAAAATAAAACGGGGGCGAAAATTTCCCTGTATACAGTAATTTCCTGTATACAGGTATAGCAAATAATTCATAATATGACTTGGGAAGCTGTGATTTTTTCTTTTATATCATCTTAATGTAGAATCATGATGTATACTTAAGCAAGTAGAATTTTTTCAAACATACAAAATTTCACGGTCATTTTAACTTTTGAAGTGAATGTAAAATATCAGGAAGCAGTCAAGCATTGTAATTTTTGTTGTTGTTGAAAGTACTTAGTTATTGAGTGATATTCAAATTTTAATCTGCAATGAAATTAAAAATTAGAAATGTAATAATTTGTTGATTTTAAAAACTTGGTGTTCATTCATTTTGAGTTTGTTGCCATGACAATAGTTCTGTCAAGAAAATGGCTCTGATATTCCTTTTTGTTCAGTTTGACCCTTGACCTTTGACATGTGACCTCAAAATCTGGAGGGGTCCTCTACTTTTTTAGAAACCAGTATACTAAATTTGATGTCTCTGAAGTAATGGGTCCTCAAGATTTTGAATGATTAAAATCTACATTCTGGTATATCTAGAGAATTGAAACCCTTGACCTTTGGCCTTGTGAACTCCAAACTAAAAGGGGCCATCTACTTATTTGTAGGTACCAGTGTACTATGTTTATTATCTATGGAGCATATTTATTATTTTTTTTCTAAGATTAGAGAGAACACACTTGGTCTATTGACTGACAAACAGGTGCTAAGCAGTATGTGAATATCACCCTTTTCAAAGCACTGTAAAATAATACAATTCAGGTAACACCCCCCCCCTTATTAACCCCATTTAACCCCTAAGATATAATTAAATTGATTAAGAACAAAAATGTACAACATATTGGTATTTTTCTACAGCAAAATTAAAATTTTTGAAAATATTTAACTAAGCAAAAAACTCCTTGCTTAAGTTCAAGGATGAGGTAATTTGAAAATTGAAGAAAAAAAATGTCCAACTTTAAGTAAAAAGTACAGGCAAAAATTTGAGAGTCCAAAGACAGATTTTTTATATAATGTAGAAAGAAATGTTGTCTAATAATTGGTATATGATTGAGTTGATTCTAAGCGTCACTTTCTGAGTTGTAGGTTTTTGAAAAGTGAGTATTTTCACCAGTTTTCAAAAATCTGGAAATATGCCAGATTTGTGACCTTTTTGCACTTAAATGGGGGCACAGTTTGTGATTATGAAAAATTTTCCGAAACAAGTGTATCTTGTTACTTTCAACCATATATGGTTATTTTATATCATTATTAAATAAAATGCTGAATTTTTTAATATAAAATCCTATAAAATTCCTGTTTTCAACCTGTGTAAGGACTAAGAATTCTATTTTTAGTAACAATGTCGATTTACCCCCTTAAGTGAGACCACACTGAAAAAAATTTTGTGGCAAACTATTTCATATTATAGAAGAAATTTACACACAAAATATGAAGTTGATCAGAGAACCTTGCTCCCATAACCTTTTGCATGCTTTTCTCGTAGACATGCTCTTAATAAACATTGGTATCTAAAAATGCTTTTACGGGATAAAAATTTCTACTTTTAATTAGACCTTTCTGAGAAGTTCAAAGAACCTTGAAGCACATTGAGAGGCGTATAATGAAAATTGTTGCATGAAAAGATTTAATTTTCAAGCTTCATTTAAAGACTTTTTGAATTAAATTATAAATTAAAGAGTTGTCCTTCCTGGCTGAGGGTCGGAGTCCATTAAATTGTTATTCTTTTCTCTTTTTCTTCTTCCTTTTTAGATAATTTTGAAAGTTTAGAACCTTGTTAAATTTTATATTGATTTCCCAGCTTTCTGTTTTTAAGTTCAAACAGATGTTCAATGAAGTTTTACCTTCGCCTCAATCCACGGGATCCATTTTTGTCCAAGAAAGTAGAAGTGAGTTCTATATTTTAACCATCCACTGTCAGAATCTGTACAGTAAATCAAAATTATATTATTTTATGTATATACATTATATTTTTCAAATCAAATATACATCTGGAGAAATAAGGGATAATATCCTCTTTATTTCATCGTGTTCCTAGTTGAAAATTGTTACCTCTCAAAACATGGCTAATTTGTCTTTTAGGTAGATAAAGGTAATTTGTATGTATGACAATTAAACCTGACCTGTAAGCACACTTAATTCCTAAAGAGCCTGGCGCTTTTATATTTTATAAGAGTTTGTCTTAGAAATACCTTCGTCGACACATTCCCCAAATATACAACGTATTAATTAGAAAGAAATCGGGTTTCAGGGGGTGCTGACTTTTTTTAAAAAGGAAATCCTATAAAGAGAATAAAAATACCTACAGAAAATAGAAAGGATGCCAACAATTAAGGAAGATGTAAACAAATTAAGACATGTTCGAAATGACCACAATTTGCATGAATATCTTATTAAACAATTCATGATCAAAGATCTCTCAAAATGTACAGTCATGTCCCTCACTTCAAATATCTAAAATATCTCATTTTGAATAGTGTCACCAAGTGTTACATGCAGTGTGATAACTAGAAATTCTAGCAATGAACAATCCAAAAATTATAAACAGTTTAAATTATCTTGTGATTTGTTCTCTTCAGTTTGACTTGTAGTGAAATACGTACCCAACATCATCTGCCATTATGCTAAAGGAATTACTATGTTTTTTTTCAAATCTGAACACCCATATAAGATTTTGCTTAAACGCTAAGTTTTTCAAACAATATACATGTATTTCGTATCAGTTAATTACTTTGTTGACAGATATGGCCGAAACATGAAAGACTATCAGACCTTGTACAATGAAATTAATAACACGTCTTACTTACTTTACTGGGTAAATCAGTCATTCGATTAAGATGCCTAAAATTTTTATATTACACGTATAAATTAAAAATCTCATTTTTACCTTCCGGAGTGGTGTAATATTCCAGGCCTTCTTCAGTGGGACCAGACCCAACAGACTGGGGATCTAACATGATTTTCAACAACTTACAGGATCGATTCCTTTTGTTATGTAAAATGGTCGAACACGCACAAAGATACGTAAGACATTTCTGTGCACACGATTCCAGATTTACGTCTACAATTTCTTCCTGTATATAGGAGGAATTTGCGATGACAGCATTGTCGTATTCAGTATATCTTTCTAGTTTTTTTTTTTCATAATAGTTAGAAAGAAGACACAGTGACGATCCAATAAAGGCGAAAATGGCTGGCAAGAAGCATCATGATAAAGAATCTCATTCTGAACAAAGACAACATATAGAAACACAACACTTTGCACAAAGGCCCTCTTTCTGAGCATATATAACAAGCTGTTAATAAATATTAAAAAAGGGAAATGCATAATAATGTTTATTTTAATAATTGATGAGCAAATTGCTTTTTTATCTTATTTTTCCTAGTTGAAATATACATGAGAAAATATATTGAAAAGAACTTTCGAGAACAATATTTTTATCTTTCATTTAAGGTAGGACAAAACACCCGTGGATTCTATTTTAATCCATTTCTTAAAAAGTACTGGAGGAAAAAAGAATAATATTACTCTATTGACAACAATGAATGATCCCTGAAAGAAAAATAATAAGTTTTGGCATATTTGCGTTATATTTTGTAAAAAAATCAGAGAATCCTATATATTGGTCACTTGGGAGCTTGCATTTTGGAATGTGTGTATGCTACATGTATCTAAGTGCAATTAACAAGTATGTAACAGTCTGTTATAAAATGCAGTGCAACTTTTGTTCCATAAATAGTAGAGGGGTGATATTTGGACACATATATAAGGAGTCTTCATTCTTTATGTACAACAAAGGCAAAGGTCATATCAAGAGGTCAAAGGTCAAATATTGTGACGTCATCAACTGAATCTTTTAGTTTTTTTGCCATTGAATTTTTTTAATTGCCAAAATATCTTAAACCACCGGTTCAATTTTCTTTATTTTTACACATTTTATTCTAGGACCCATTTGAATCATTCTGTTGATTTTTTGTAAAAATTGAATTATACATCTTCTCTTAAGAAAACTTAAACTGTCGAATATTTACATGTAAATTTTCAGTTTCTGACACAGTGTATGTTCTATTTTATTTAACATTTTACTCAAATTTTTCAGTATCAATGTGACTTACTGATTTAAAGTAACAAAAAGGTTATTTTTATTAAAAGTATTACACAAATTTGCAATAGATCAATAGAAAATTCTAAAATAAGGCTCATTCTCAAGTTGAATGTCTGATTTCACAATCTTCTTACAGGGGTCTGATAGGCCATATTTCAGACTATGTGGGCAAAAAATGTGCGGTTGAATTTCTTTCATATCATATATAAAGAGAGATTTTGTATCCAAGAACAAAATATCAAAGTTTCAGAAAAATTGAATTTGAGGAAAAATTTGACCTATCTATTTGGTCCTACCTTAAATTCCCAGATTTTTTATGTATATTTTATCAAATACTGCTTTTTATACCAAGAGCTGAACACATTATAGTTCTTTTTTTTTTTTA